GTGACGTGTGTGTGTGTGTGTGTGTGTGTGTGTGTGTGTGTGTGTGTGTGTGTGTGTGCGTGCGTGTGTGCGCGTGTGTGTGTGGTGTGTGTGTGTGCGTGCGTGCGTGCGTGCATGCGAGCGAGCGTGGATATTGCGTACACTCACGGTTATAAAATATAAAGGCAGCAATTTCGACGTGTAGAGAAGGCATGCCTAACACCGATTTGCAGTCATGCGACAGGTATAACAGTGGCTGAGGGCGAACGATACGTTGCAACGATTTGATGAAGATAATTTGCTCGTGACGGTTTGTCCGGAGGGAGGGAGACACGTTTTTAGAGATCGTATTTGCTGATAGCCTAACGTCTTATCAATATAAAAAGTTGATAACAATTGACAATTCTCATGTCACCACTCAGCAGTAGCAGTAGGATGTGCCTAGTAATCGCAGTAGCAGGCAGTAACAGTAGTAGCAGCAGCGGCAGCACTGTGAATGAATAACAATCTACATTACATTAAGTCAGCGTTTCTTTTTTTTCTCCGGCGTACGACACACGGGTGTTGTTGTTTACGACCGCCTATAGTTACCTCATAACACGGACATCGTCAACTAGCACATGCAAAAGCAGGGAGAGAGGAAACCCCACAAAAGTTAAATCAATAACTCAATGTAATGATAGCAACTAGCAACAAGCCCCCTAGAGGGCGCAATTATACGCCAGATTCGTCGTCTGCGCCAGTATATTTCTGAATCCATCCCTCGGTTTCAATTTTCAGATGTGGAGCCGACAGTGCGGCTGATTTCAGCGGCACGTAAAAAACAACGAGCGGAGACAAGCCACTGAAAAACCCGATGACAAGTTGACGGCGGCACGATAGCAGCAGCAGCAGCAGCAGCAGCGGCAGCCGCAGCAGCAGAAGCGGCAGCATCGCGTGAGATCGAGAGCGTCAGTACAACGTGATTTAAAGAAGAGGAGGCGAGCGAGAGGAAGCGAGAGGAGAGCGAGAGGGAGGGAGAGAAAGGCAGACATGGGCAGTAGCTGCTCATCCGGCAGCCCCACTAATAGCCAGAACGATGGCTACTACAAGAAGGCAGAGAAGAGCGACAAGTCACAGTAAGTAATTGATGCATATATATTATAGACTTTTGTATTATATATATATATATATATAATATATTATATATATATATTATCAAGAGTAGATTAATAGGAGAAGAGTATGACATGTTTTAACAGCGGTTGTTGTGTAGCTTCATCAAACTTGACATCTTATTCTATCAATATGTAAGATAAATATATTCTCAACAATTACCTATGTCTCTGTGTCTGGTTCTCGGATTCTCCCTTAATCATATGGAACACATCAGTTTACTGAAATATCGTATGGTCTTCAAAAGTTCGCTTTGAATACGACCACGGTTATCACACTCATTTCCCAATGTTTGCATCTAATTCGGCGAAATGTTTATATCGCGGCGGCCAGCCACCAGGTTGATAAACTAACGGGACGCTCGAGGGCTGTTGGGCTGATTATTAGTCCAGCACAGTAACAAGACATATGTTTCACTTCCTTATCATCAGAACACAATGGCCAACACAGCTAAAATCAGCCTACTAGCTCGGCCGTGAGCACATTTTTATTCTCTAGCCCGTGAACGCTACACGCCCTGAAATACAATGCCAACAATGCCCCTAATATCCCCAAACAGGCTCCAGGCGTCCGGTCATGACAAATTAGAACACTAATCGCATAAAAACTTTAGCCCTGCCCATAAGATGCGAATGCGTTGAGCGAAAACTGTGTGAAACCGGGGCGTATTCAACGAACTTTTTATTGAAGAACACATAACGATTATTCAGCGGAAAATTCGGGGTGTCATATGCATTAAGGGGAGAAGCATAGACGAAACAAGGTAAAGTCTGAATATATTTAATTCAAATATTGATAGGAAAGCAAAAGATTGATAGAAAGTTGAAAAAACTATGCCAAAACGGTTGTCATTAACTCTTCTCCTATTATTACTCTTGAAAGTACTCCTTATTATATATATATATATATATAATAAATTACTATATATATCAAGAGCCCGGCTAGAAATATATTAGAGCTATAATAAATAATATATATATATATATATAATATATATATAGTATATATACTAGCGGCTAAAACCACGATCTCGGTGTGTACCACACCACTTACCCCTACAGACCGCAAAACGAGAGAAATGATGAGACACAGTGACTGTGATAAAGATTCGCTAGGAGAAGATGATGAGATAGATAATGGGATATATCGGAAACATGAGAGATGATGAGAGAGACATGCTCGAGAGAGAGAGAGAGAGAAGAGAGAAGAGAGAGAGACAGAGAGCAGGAGAGGAGGAGAGTAGACGCGTGGGAAAAGTGGAGAGAGACGACGAGAAGAGAGTAGCGATAGGCTGGCGAGAAGTGCAGGACGAGAGACGAGAGAGAGGCGAGTAGGAGTAGAGAGACAGAGAGACAGACAAACAGACAGCCAGGCAGACGAGCAGCAGCCAGGCAGACAGACAGACGGAGAGACAGACAGACAGACAGACAGACAGACAGACAGACAGAGAAAGGAAAGAGAGACGGACGGACCGACGGACGGACCGACAGGCAGGCAGGCAGACAGACAGACAGAAAGGCGGACAGACAAACAGAAAGTTGGAACGGGTGATCAGCGAACGAGCGAGAGATAGCAGCAGGTGGTGAGGGGGGAAAGACGAGGTAAAGAGAGAGGGAAAAAAGGAACACAAAGAGAGGCAACACGAGAGAGAGAGAGAGAGAGAGAGAGAGAGACAGACAGACAGAGAGGAAGAGAGCGAGCGAGAGAAAGTAAGTGAAAAAAAGTTAACGAGGAGGGAGGAAGGAGGGCGTAAAGAGAGACGGAGAGAGAATAGAAAGGTTATTAACCATTATAACACTACCGAACCAATGTAAATTCCGCTCCCTCGGTCACCTTAGGGAAGTTAGAAGGCTTCAGACCTGTTTGCTTGCCACCAAATGTATTGCTCCAACGTGCAGGCGCGGCGCGTGACGTCAGTTTCCAAACGTGTTCAGGTGAATTCTAATGCGCATGCGTATTGCCTGAGCTATCATAGCGTGCTGTGGTTCATACACTAACATGTGCATTTGGCGACCGTAGGTAATCTCGCTTAATAAGAAACCTCTGTTTTGACACTTGAACAGCGTACGTCACGCGCTCTGCTAAATGTAATTGTGTGTTCGCGTGTAATTATTTGCAAATCCTAGTTGCCCCGCGTAGAGGAAATGTCGTGTGAACAGTTGCGGTAGAGGCATGGGTGCCGTAGCATGTACTCGCTGTATGGTGTACTCGCTCTTCTGGTTCTCCTTTCTTCCTCGTCCTTTTTCTTTCTTCCCTCTTCTTCTGTCGTCTTCCACGTCTTGTTTCTTTTCCTCGACATCTCGTTCTCTCTGTCGTCTTCTTTGTTCTCTACCCTTCTCCTCGCCTCGTATTTCCCTTTTTCCTCTTGCTTCTTTTTTAACCCCACTTCTTTCTCCTTCTCGTCTTTCTCCTTCGCGTCTTCCTCCTCGACGGCCTCCTCCTCTTCATCTCTTCTTTCCCTCTTACTATTCCTCCTCCTATTTCTCTTCCTCTGTTTCCTTCCCTTTCTCCTCCTTCTCTGTCTCCTGTTCCTGCTCCTCTGTCTCCTGTTTCTCCTCCTCTCCTTCTCTTGATCTCCTCTTCCTCTTCTATCTCCTATTTATTTTCCTCCGCATTTCTTTTTTTCCGTCGTCCTTTTACTCCTCTCCTCTCCTTCCCTTTCCGTCCCCGTTCTCCACTTCCTCTCCTCCTTTCCTTCCTCTTCCTCATCCTCCTCCTTGACATTTGCCGCATCGTCCTCAAACTTTACTCTCCTCTTTTCCGCCTAATCGTGTTAATACCTTTCCCATTCTCTTATATTTTAACACAGACATATTGTGCATTTGCTCTATTTTTGCACTGTCGGCCTTTCCTCCTCATTATATGGAGCAACAACCACGCCTCCCCGGTGCGTTAGCAGATTTTTTTTTACCTTTTCTATCTCAGCTTCATTTGTCTGCTTCCGAATATAAACTCGGTATGTAATCTGGCAGGTCACCGGGCGTCTCAGTAAAGAAGTGTCTGCATTTCCCTCCCCATTCTCCTCATCTTTAGCATCTTTTCTTTTTGTCCTACAGTCCTTCGCGTGTCGGATCCCAGAGAAACAGCACAGTTATTACACAGACTCGTACCAGCCTCGTAGTTACGCAGTTTTAGCAAATAATTTATACATTTGATGGCTCGGACACGTGTACATCGATGTGCGCTAACTGTTTAATATAAGGCCCCGGCACTACATTGCTGATTAGTTTAGTACTGGCAGTTCATAGCCCTGTTAAGACACCGCTAATAGGTAAATATGGATGGACGAACGGACGGACAGACGGAATGACTGATAGACAGACAGACAGACAGTCGGACAGACGGAAGGACGGGCTAAAGGAAGGACAGACGGACGGATGGACGGACGGACGGACGGACGGACGGACGCATGGACGGACGGACGGACGCCCGATCTTACTTCGCTCACAAATTATTGGGGCATGCAATTAGTTAGCAGAACTAAAAATCATTGAAAAATTTGCTATGACGTTTTAGGCTGTATCTATATCGTCTTTCAGCCCGCCCGTCCGTGCGCGCGTGTGTGTGCATGCGTGCGTGCGTGCGTGCTTGTGTGTGGCTGTGTCTAGAAGTCATCAATATCGCAAGTAAACTGCAAAATCAAAAATTTCGCTGCTGATTATCACCGCTATAAATTATAATGAATAAAATCACGTTTTTTTCTACGTGCAACACGTGGCAACAGTAGACAGCTGCGGACTTTTACTTTGTCATATCACATGCAGTTGGTTACACGCACGCACGCACGCTCGCTCGCTCGCACGCACGCACGCACGCACGCACACACACACACACATACACACGCGCACGCACACACGCGCACACACACACACACACACACACACACACACACGTGTATGTGTGTGTGGCGTGCGACACACGCACGCACACACACGCACATGTACACACACACGCGCGCGCGCTCTGACCTCTGCGTCGATGTTTGTGACCTGACGCTGCATGTCATAGGTGACCTTGCTAGCGGCGGCGGCGGCAGTGTTGGCGCTGACGAGGCCGCCGCACAGCAGACCAACGTGCTGCTGCAGCTCCTTCTCCTCGTGTTTCCGCATCTCGAGACGCTTACCGTTGAAGGCGCAGCCGAAGCTGTGGAACTTACAGGGCACGCCCGCGTTCACACAGTCCTCCTCCACGTGTCTCGTCAGCTAAGCAACATTACACGCAATCACCACAGTTAACTCCAATCCGCATATCAATACCAGCATCCATTCCGATATCAATGTCTAATTCAATATCGATTTAATATTAATATGAATATCAATTCATTGTCAGTATCGGTATCAGTATCAGTATTAATGATGATATCATGAACATATTATGTTCCGTTTTGCGGATGCCAAATTTGTTTAAGAGAACAATTCGTAGGTAAACGATACCACTAGGAAAGCGTGTGTCCTTTTACTCCTGCATAAATTGTAGAGTTGCGCGTTTGAAATCTTTAGTGGCATGCACATAGTGCGTTATAATAGCTAGTGTAAAAATCTACTAGAGGATTAGATAGCTGCGCAAGAGTCGGTATATGGATCTTTAGTTATATTCGCGAGGCGTACCATAAAGGGAGGCTTATGACGGGCTTGCGAGCCAACTCGACTGGGAGCAACTGGCTGCGATTCACTGCGACCGCAGTGGTTAGGTCGGTCGACTGTGACGCGACTGTCTGCGACTGGCCGCCAATAGTTGCTCGGAATAGAACAGTGGGCAACTGGACGCAACTAGTCGCTACCGATCGCTTCCAGTTGCTCGAAATCCAGTTGCTTCCAGTCGAGTCGGCTCGCAAGCCCGACATAAGCCCCCCTTTAAGGCAGGCGAGTGACAAAATAAACGGGAATTAATGGCGACAAACGGCGACGTTATAATATGGAGTGATTATACCCCCGGCAACAAGCCGTGTTGTTTCTATCGGCCGCTAGGTGTCAGCTCTTACGTCGGCGCGAGCGATGTTTTTCGTCTGGCAGCCGTTCGGGCAGGTGACAGGCAGCTTCGGGCAGGTGTTCAGATGCTCCAGTTCCTCCTCGTACTCCATCTTATCCGCGCAGAAGTCGCAGGCGATGATGCGGCGTGGACACTCCTTCTCCATGTGCTTCTTCAGATAGCGCCCCTCCAGCGTCACGCCACATTTGAGTCTGCACTCGACCATGTTGAACTTGCACTCGTCGTGGTGGGCCTGAAAAATTTGGTAGCGGGGCAAAATGGATCCAGCGGGCGAGTTATGAAGCTCCCTGTTATAGATATTCGCTTTATCCTCGGACAATACCAACATGGAATGCCCTACCACCTACTACCAAGACTGCTCCTGATGTGGCTTTATTTAAAAACTTAATTAACAGCGGTAAAGAAAACGTGAAGAAAATTTAGGTCATCAAAGCGATGCATGATGACCTGTACGTCTATAGCCACACCAGGCGATTGTAGTAAAGTATCAGACAAGACAAGACAAGACAAGACAAGACAAGAAGCGTTGCGTTGGATGCGATAGGAGCATAAACGAGAGATGCGAGGGTCGAATTGTAGTGCTGTGGCTACTTTAAATAATGATGAACGAGATCATTTGAACAAAACTCATTGAATCAGCGTTAGGCGCTTACCTACTCATAGCACGAACAGAGAGTATGTATTGATTCTGTACGCTGCGTTTCGCGTTTTACCTGTAAGTCTTTATACTGCCGAGCCACGGGCACCCTCGAGGCGTTGTCGTCGGGAAGCGAGTTACCATGGCGACGCTCTCCCGGTTTTATATACTTCTGAAATGGCTTTCTACAATAGACCTTGGCTCGATCTATCACTGTCGGTCGATGGGACACGCTCGCGGAGCGACTCTACTAGCAACAATAAGCCAATAGCTTTCAAATTAACTTGGGTTTATAATTATGTTAATAATGAGGTTAATTGCTCAAGATTTAATTAACCGCAATAAATGGAATTGCAGGATTTGTCTTTCACCTACACCGAGTAGGCTTATTGCAATTGACAAGCTGTTCATTTGGGTGATATTGTTATAAGGCTTTCGGCCGCTCACCAGTGATTCATCAGTAAGCTGTTCCCTTTGTCCTCTCGCTCTCTCTATCGTTAAAACCAAAACGCTGCATTTTACCTGGGACAGCTCCTACATACTTACCTGGAAGCCAGCTTCTACATAGCTACCTGGGCAGCTCCTACACACTTACCTGGGCGCAGCTCCGTACACTCTATACCTGGGCAGCCTCCTACATCACTTACCCTTGGGCAGCTCCTACACACTTACCTGGCAGCTCCTACACACTACCCTGGGCTAACTGCCTACACACTTACGCTGGACAACTCCTACCACACTTACTCTGGCAGCTCCTACACACTGTACGCTGAGGCAGCTCCTAATACACTTATCTGGGCAGCACCTATACACTACCTGGCCAGCTCCTACACACTTTACCTGGGCAGCTTCCTACACTCTTACCTGGGCAGGCTCCTACACAGCTTACCTGGGCAGCTCCTATACACTTAACCTGGGCACTTCTAACACACTTATCCTGGGCAGCTCCTACACACTTACTGGACAGCTCCCATAAGCACACTTAACCTGGCAGCTCTTACACACTTACCTGGGCAGCTCTTACACACTTACCTGGGCAAGCTCTTACACACTTTACCCTGGGCCAGCTCCTACACAACTTACCTGGCACTTCCTACAACAACTTACCTGGCAGCTCCTAACACTCTTACAGTGAGGCAGCTTGCCTAACAACCACTCTACCTGGGCGGGCAGCTCACCCTACACACTTACCCTAAGGACAAAAAGCTGTCCTAAGGCGAAGCGCCCAGAGAACACGTAAATATATAGCGCAGGAGGCAACCAAGGGAAGTGGAGAGCAGCCCGTTCCATACCAGTGACATTACGTGATGTAAGCGGCCCAAACAAGGTAAGTTATGTAAGACTGCCCGCCGCTAGACCGCACAACAGACCTAGAAGCTGTGTAGAGAGGTGGAGCCCAGGTAGAGAGTGTGTATGAGCTGTCCAGAGGGTTGGCGAAAACACTTTAAGTACTTGTAGGGCTATGCCCTGCCAGGGTAGTAAAGTACCTGGGCACTCTTTACATATGTGCAATACCGACTGGGCGAAAGCTCCCTACGACCATCGAAAGGTTAAACAGGTAAGCAGTCGTTAGGCTGAGGGCGGCCCAGAGAGCCTCCTACAGTAGTTAGATAGCTAAAAAAAAAGCGCCAGCGGTGAGTTGTGTAGGGGTGAGCTGCAATCGTTACACTAGAGGGCAGCCTACATCGCTTTAAGACACAGGTGCTTATACAGCGGTCCGCCAGGTGAAGTGCAGGCTTTAAACAGCTGCCTACCAGCGATTAACTTGTGTAAGGAGCTGTCCATGTATGAGTGGCATGCATGCCTGACACGACTGCCCAGGTTATACACTGTGTAGAGGTAGAGCTCGCCTCAGTTGACTAAGTCACATACCAGGAGTCTGCGGCACGAGTAATCGCTTAGTCAGAGCAACTGTCACGCTCGGAGCAGGTACTATCATGAGTACAGGCACAATGTACCGGCTGCGCAGACGAACGCTATCATCAAACTGAGTACTGCCATCAATGTGGGAGACAGTCGGCCCAGCATTTAACGTGTATACTACCATGCTCAGATAAGATGTGCATGGTAGACGCCAAGGCTAAGTCGTGTAGGATGGTCGATTGTCCAGCGTATAGTGTGCTAGCGAATTTTGCCGACAAGCGATACACGTGTGTTACCTAAGGACAGCCGTCCCTTAAGACACTTACGTCATAGTGTGGTGCACAGGCAGTTCCTACACCCAGGTAAGTGTGTCACACTGAGTCTCCGTCGCGAAAGACTCTTACTAGTAATTCCTCCCCTGAGCAGACTTCGGGCAGACAGGAGGAGCAGACGCGTGATTGCACTCCTCGAACTGCACAGGGAAGCTGAGCATCTTCGTGCAGACGGGACACTTGTACTTATCCTCCAGCGGTCCGCCCCGCGGAATCAACTCCAGCTCCTCCTTCCCGCGCCGACCAGCTGCTGCGGCCGAGCCGGATCGCACCGACGGAGCGTGGCTGTTCTCCGGCATGCTGAACAAAAGGCGCTACCTATCGGACAAGCAACGTCGTGAGAGCAAGTGGCGAGAGAAAGGAAAGGGAGATTGCGCGCGCGAGAGAGAGAGAAAGGAGAGAGAGAAGGAGAGAGAGAGCGCGCGAGACAGCGAGAGGTAGAGAGAGAAGAAGAGAGAGACGTGAGAGCGCGAGGTAGAGAGAGAGGAGAGAGAGAGAGAGAGAGAGGACGCGAGAGAGCGAGAGAGAGAGAGAGAGAGAGACCGAGAGAGAGAGAGCGCGAGAAGTAGAGAGAGACACTGGCGTAGCTAAGGGGGGGCACAAGGGGGCCATGGCCCCCCTCCCTGTTGATTGGCAAACAAAACAAAACAAACATTTTCCTTGCCTTACGCGTCTTCACAGGACTGGCCACAATTCTGTTACTTCTGCATCTGCCTGAACGAACATTCTCTAAAATGAGCATTGTCAAGTCTAAACTTTGTTCTACAATGACCCAGCCACGATTCTCTGCTCTCATTCTCCTTTTCGTTGAACAGGAGTTAGTGAATGACATTAATGTCAACGAAATCCTCAAAATGTTCTGTGCAAAATCGACGAGAAGACTTGACTTTTGGATTTTGAGATTTCTGCAGCAGACAAAAACATGACTAAAAGAAAGGAGATAATTCTTCTTTGCTCAGATTTGTGTTGTTGGCAAGTTGGCTTTGATTGAATTTTATGGTTCTGAACTCTTATTGACAGAAGAAATGAAATGGAAATGCTTTGTGAATAACTTTGATATATTCGAACTTATAGACGGCCATTTTGGCATCCACCTCGGTTTTTATTTCAAATCCGATTTCAACACTATTTTAAGTAACTTATTCTCTATCAGGGGAGGCAAAAACAATTCTTTTCATGGTAAATTTCGTTTTTATTTTAATAGAGCGGCTATTTTGGCAGCTACCTGTTGTTTTTATTTGAAATCAAATTTCAATATGATTTTTAGTTCTCATCAGAGGAAAGCAAAAACATTTTTTATAACGAACAAAATGTTAAATGTGATCTTTAACGCTATTGTATTCTAAACGATGTAAATCTTTTGTAATTTAAATAAATTGGCATGTTTATTCCAGTGCAGTTCCACACTCTACCTGTTTTTCCCGTAGATCTTTATTTCGATTTCATTCATATGCCTCTACTTTTTCAAAAAATAATAATTTAACTTTTAACTTTTATATGAGGAACTTGAAACAGTTTATGACGGATAAAATGCAACATTGCATGGTACTGCTAACAACACAAATCAAACTAATTCCAATATTCCGTCAGTGCTTGAATGAGGACATAGGCGTAGCTAAGGGGGCAGCCAAGGAGGCCATGACCCCCTCTTGATCGGAGAGAACAAAAATTAAGAGAGAAGGACCCTGAATGGGATTGGTCTATACCACTATTACCTACACCTAATAATGAAAATGAAATGCCAAAAATGCCATTTTGATGCACATAATTTTCAAAAAATTACCCTACTGTGGAAGGGAAACACCCTCCCCCGTTGAGAAATTGCTTCATCACTGTCTTTGGTCGCTTAACTCTTCTTCCTCCCTGAAAAACACTGGCTTCGTACACGCATTTTCACTGGTCTAGCTAAGGGTCCACCAACGGTCGTGTGTAACCTCAGAGCCTTCGGCGCCACAGCCAGGGGCCATCGTCCCACGTTGATCGGTCGGAGTGGAAAAAAATAAAAAGCGAGGGAGGGGGGTTATAAGGGATTAGCATATGCCACTTCTCATATAAGTTACCCCTAATACTGAATTTTAGTGTGCAGAAAATGCCATTTTCATGCACGAATTTTCAAAATCTCCCTACCTGGGAGGGGGATACCCCTCCACACCCTACCCCTCGGTCGTTTCGCTCCCTCGCCTTGCCCCCCCCCCCCTGTTTCCAATTGCTGGCTACGCCACTGGAGAGAGAGATAGAGCGCGAGAGTACGCGAGAGGTAGAGAGAGCGAGGGAGGTGGAATGCGCGTGTACCTTGCGACCGCCTATGAATCGCAGAGTGGGTCTCTCTACGGGTGGTGTTTTTTTCTATTTCGGGCGACAGTACCAAAGGTAATTGGATCTCATCGATGCAGTGGGTGGATAGTAGAATGCGTTACGTTACAGCGATAGTATTATATGATTTGGGTCGCGCATCGCCGCACGAAGGCGTGTAGAGTACGACCTATGTCGTCCAAACTGTTTTGAGAGAGATGGAGAGAGGAGGGTGTGTGAGAGATACCGAAAAAGAGCAGACGAGGAGAGAGGCCACGAGAAGAGAAGGAGAGCAAGGAGAGGAGAGGAGAGAGAGAGAGAGAGAGGAGAGGAGAGGAGAGAAAAAGAAAAGTGCGAGCGAGGGACGAGAGGGAAGAGAAGGGCGAGACGAGAGATGCGAGAGAAGAGCAAGGCAGGTAAGAGAGGCAGGGAGTGTGGATTTCATTTGAGCAACTCAAATGACTTAGACATCCATGAAGTTAATAGATAATGTTTCAAGCTGAAAAGATCATCGTACCAGTAGGACAAACGCCGATTATATGAACATTGTAATATAGATCACGTAGAAAGCGGACGTCAAGTATAACTGTCTATTCTGT